AGAAATGAGGGTAGCGCTCTCCGCGAAATGACAGAGCCGCATTGATAGAGCGATCGTCAACGAGACTTGGCTCTAACACGCGTCGCCGCGATAATACGTAACCGACTTGCGCGAGTAATCCAGGGCAAAATTGTAATTTCTATACGATATTTCTTTATCTTTGTTCTTCTTTACTTCTGACGAAGCGACATGTCGGCCGTCTCTCGCTGTGCCATTTGCACTCGTACGATTGGCTATCGCGACCGAAATGCGAAGATCGTATCTGCGCATAAAAGCGAAGCAGCAGCCAAACGGACAAATGAATCCGCGTCCCCATTTCTGAGATTTGACGCCTCGAGAAAGTTGGTCACACGTATGAATGATAAACATGCGGACCCTCGATAATTAAATGATCACTCGGTTCGTCGACGGTGCGATCGATAGCACAAATAGCGACGAAGACGATACCTGCGGAATATAGAGGATGGAATCAATTTTCTGCGAGGAGACTCGCAGCGCCTATTACCTTAGAACGGTAAATCAACGCGACGTAGAAACACGCGAAAGAAAAAAAAAATCAGTCGCGAGGGAAACGTTGTGAATAATAAAATTACGTTTAACGATCTCTGTTTTCACCAGGACGGTCAAATTAACTACTCGTTGAAGAAATACGTCATCTATAAGGAAAGATGTTATGCCGTAGTAAAAATTCAAATAACTTTTATAAGAAATTATTTATTTATTCAGGAATTTAAAACTTTCCATTTCGGAATTTTTATCTCGATATTCATGTTTTTCAATAAAATTCAACGTCGAGTAAAAGTATAAAATGACACGTTCGATAAATTCGAGTAAATTTTGTAGAAAATTACCCACTCATTTTTCGAAATTTCTACCTCTCCAGATACTTTTATCCGCAAACATATTTATTCTTTTCATTTATATTCAACGTCAATTAAAAATATAAAATGCACCGTTATAGATTCGAGTTTTGTGATTTTACAAACCGGTCATGTTGACTGCTTCGGCAGTCGTGGTATTAATTTAATCGTTTGCGAGAGGATGCGACGGAGACGTGTCCCTCCTCCAGCGGTGTCCACTCTCTCTCTCTCGGGGGTTAGGCAAGATTTTAATTACGCATCGAGAAAGGATTATTGATGAATTCCGCTGGCCGGTGAATTCCACGTTAGCGCGGTGCGCCGCGCGCGAGAGTTATAATCACGCGACACGATGCACCACCGACTGAAAAAGGATGTCGTAACAAATGGCCGTGAAACGTAAGACGTTAGCGAGCCCGCACGCTGATTGACTCCTTCGCCACGCGTCCGGGAAAAACGCGCGCCGCTCTTGTGCTCCAGGGCACCCAACCGGGCCGCTCTCCGTTCGTAATCGCCTCTCGCGTTCCCCTCGCGGCATTATCGCAGCCGCCTCGTTGGAGTCGCACATCGCGACGAGAGGAACTCTCTCACCTTCCGGAGCGGAAGGTGAGGTTCCCGTTAATAATCCGTGAATCATTTCGCGTCGAAACGCGCGCTCTCGCGTGCTTGAATAATTTATAGCGGGAGGAGGAGGACACTTCTCGCCGAGTAGAGAATGATCTGATTCGGTCTCTTTTCCTCTTTCCCTCCTCTCTCTCTCTCTCTCTATTTATATACATAAATCGGGAAAGTGTGAGAAACTTGTAACCTTGAGCCGCGCGAGCTAAGATCGCAGTAGAGATCGCAGAGGCCGGATTTTTGGGGGGATTTCGTTCGGGCCTGCGCGACCTCGTGGTCGTGCCGATCCTCCCGGCCGATACCGTCCGCGTGTACCTCATTTGCAAACCGAAAATGAGTCGGCCGTATCGACCGGCGATCTGCACGATTTCGCGTGAGTTATCAGCGCGCTTGTCCTGCGCGACCGCGACGACGATCAGCGCTACCGCTAATAGTTAATTAAGCGTTTCGCACAATCGCCGATCAATTACGCGAGCGTGCGAGTGTGGCTTTCAACGGAGTCGATTAAAGAATTTAATCGCGGCGGGAGAGACGATCTCGGACGTGCGATTACCCGCGGCGGAATTTCGTCCGGCGACGACCGTCCGCGGCCACTTATTAATACTTTACGACGCGATCGGCACGCGCATACGCGGGGGCGGCGGGGGCGAGCGTCCGCTCGTGTTGACGGCGACGACGAAAAACGCTGTCGAGGAAAGGTTCGCTCGGGGGAAAAAAAGGCACGTGCGGCGTGAGATAAATTGGCTAACGGCACCGCGATAGGAAAGCCAATTTCATCGCGATTTTTGCCAGCGCGACCGCGCGACGCCATGCGACGTGAGTTATGCGGAATCGCGCGTTTGATTGTGAGGATCGACTCTGACCTCGTCGCAGTCGATCATCATGTGCTGTCGTATAATGACGAAAAGAAGAAGGCAGATGGGGCCACTGTGTGCCGCGACTCGGCGCGTCGAATTGTATAATTGAGGCGACGGATTATCTCGGTCGACTTCATCGCGCGATTATCACACGCGATCACATCGGCGTGATATGTGTACACTCCATTACGGTATCGAAAGAGAAGGAAAAAGAGAAAGAGACGCGTCTTGCGCCAAGTATATTATAATGCAACAGTGTCGCGAGGAGCGCTAGAATGTGTCCTTCTTCTCGCATGCGCGACAACGTTTTTCCATATCTACGGTTTTCCGTAGTCACGTAATCTTGAAAATCTTGTCCGCTTCATCTGAAGATACACAGTTAAAAACGTTTCGTACTTTTGTTAAAATTTTTTGTGCGTAGAAAGTTTTGTGTTAAATCTTTTGCACAGTCGTGTGTTAATTTAACATATCGTCGTTATTGTGTTACTTAGACTTTCTTGTGTTAAATTAAGATTAACTATTTTCAAGTGTTAAAATAACACAATTTATATGTAAATGCATGAATTCTCTGATACGTTTGATATGTTAAAGTCAACACCTAAAATATGTTAATTTCCTCATTATAACACTTATCATGTGTTATATTATATAAAGATTGAAATTTTAACACATAGATTATATGTCAATCTAACATTTTCATTTCGTCAAATCATAGATCATTACTTTTCCCAAATGTTGAAGTAACATTCATTGTATGTCAATTTAACACAAACTGTGATTCTTGACGGCATTCGAGGGTTAAATTTTTGTGTTAATTTTTTACATATTATGCGTGTTACATTTTAACGTATTTGCTGTTAAATTAACACATAAATGAGAGTGGATGATTTGAGAAACACATGAAATATGTTAAATTTAACACATCATTTCTTACAGTGTATGCATGCCTGTGAGCATTTGATTTCTAAGTAAATGTGTAGCGTGAGTCACACATTTACTTAATCACACATTGGCGTTTAATTTGAAATATACGTTTTACATTAGAGGGAAATGCGTGTAAAGGAAAATTGGGCGGTTGGAAGGGATGAATAATCGTGGTAATTTATTCCTCACGCATTTTCGACTAATATAAAGGATAAGACAGAAACTTTAGTGATTGACAATCACGATATTAAAGAAAACTGAGGGTCTATAAGAACCAACGCTGACCACTCAAAGTACGCGTGAGAAAACAGAAAGAGACACAAGATGTATGAACCTTGAGCAACAAACGTTACGATCTCAGCTTGGATCGTTTTCAATGCATTTTACGACGACGTGCACTCTCCGCGATAAATAAAAAAACGAGACCGTGTGCAGAAGGACGAGCTCCTCCTTCGTTCGCTCGATCTTCGATGCAACTCCCCCGACAGAATCTCCGACAGCCCAGTTCGGTTTCTCTGCCCTTCTCGAACCCCACCGAGGACGTGTGAACCAGCGCGCGATTTAACCCTCCGGCTCGCCGAAACTGGGACGATCGCTGCTTGCGAGGAGGCTGAGATCGGCCGTCTCCGGACGGATGAAGAGATATAGACGTACAAACGGTCCGGAGACGCGGCCGAGGCGAGCGATCTGTCGTGAGATAATTACGAGAAAAATGAAAGCGATCGCTTCCTGTGGCCGCGCGCAAAATATACGGCCGACCCGCGCGTTCCGCCACGCAGCGTGCGTATACCGTACGCACCTCGATCGCTATCAGCCCGATATTTCACGCCGAAGTGGCAGCCGGCGGTCAAATCCGGCGGCCGCAATTGTAATTGAGTCGAGTCGAGTCGAGTCGAGCGGAGTCGCGCTGCAAGCGGCCCGGGAATAGGAATCCTGTTTTTCGGCGGACCCATAATCGTAAAAGCTGCTGTCGGCAACCTGTTCCGTGGGTAAGTTTACGGTGATTCTAGCATTGGCCGCGGCCGGAGCCGAGACATACGCGCGTACGAATTCACGACGCGACGGTGCCGTCGTTCCGCTCCGTAATATTCATCCGACCGCGATAACGCGCTAATCCACGATAACTAAGATTGTTGCAAGGTCGATTAGCAATACGCTAAATTACGGTACGGATCTAGGCGCGGCATGTGCGTTCTCTCTCTCTCTCTCTCTCTCTCTCTCTCTCTCTCTCTTCGATCGTTGCATTATGAACCGCGAAATTGCTTAATTTCGCGCGTCGATAGGGACATTATTCCCAATAAATCTCGGCGCCTCGCGATCGCGGAACGATTCGCCGCTCAATTCGTGCCCCAGACGCACTGTTCGAGGCCCGGCGATTTACAGCTGCTAGTTACCGGGACGTGTTATTTTCTTTTTCCCTCCTTTTTTTTCCGTGCGATGCGGTAACTCGGGTAACGAAGTTACCGCTCTCCCCCCATCGGCGGACGCATCTCCGTCGGCAGCCGGCGCTTCCGCTTCCAGTGGGTTTCATTTATTTGACAATGCTCAGCACACAGCCGCGCGATACATTTTGCACCGGCTCCGCGCGTTAGCCGTCCGTTCGACTCGCGATCGCCGATACAGTCGCCGGTTACAGCCGGTTTTCCGTCGTGCAGCGCTAAACTCGCGGCTGGCAACGGAGAACTCTCGACCTGGTCGTGCTTGCGCTACGGTTGCGGTAACTAAGAGCCGGGGGTTGCCGGATTCACTGCTCGCCTCCCGACTGCATGGTGCTCAGCAGAGCGAAGAAGGAATACGAGCCCCGCATGATCTGCGAAAAATGCTCGATGAGAGAGGGGAGACACATCGATAAACCATCGACATCTTCCGCGTGGCCGCACTCGTGATGCAATCGCGAATGACGAACGGCTCGCGGGCGACTCGGTCGCGGTGTCGGAAACGCGCCGAAAGAGGCGAGAAATAACGCGGTAAATTTAAGCCGCGAATCATTCGTAGCGTGGCGATCGATCGATCGATCGATGGCTAAGCTTTCCTGACCGGTCGCCGTGAAACTCGCGTATCAAAGTAGGCGTCGAGGATCGAGACTTTGCGCAGACTCGGATAGTCCGAGGGAATTAGAACAACCTTTCCGGAAAAAGCTGAGAACAAAGTAGAAACTAGTCGTTTTTTATCGCTAGGCATCTTGTTAGGCAAGAGCTAGCCAGGCAAATTGACGGCCTCGAGTGGATAATTTGCAGCAGATCCACGACACGTGGATTACCCAGTAAAATAAATGAATATTATGATTAATTAGAATTAAAGACTGCTACTTGACTAGTCAGGACGAAGCGAGTCGGGCTGCAAGTCAGTCGGTCGGTCGAGAGTAAATTTCTAATCCGCGATCCTCCAGCTCCGATATCTAATCGGACGCAAATCATTCGGAATGGATCGCGTCGGATTCCTAGCTGGCCGGCGATCGTGTGACTTTTCCTGAGGAATGAGAGATGAGAAGGTTCACATTCGCATTGTTGGAAAACCGCCGTGATCGCCGAAAGTCATTACGTGAAATTTTCCACTCTTCGTGTTCTCGCTCTCAGGAAAAGTCTACCCGATCGCTACTCCGAGTGCGACCACGCGTTCGATCACCAGCTGCTCATGGTGCTCGATCGTCGAGAGACCTTGGCTACATTGTCCTTAGGCACTTGGTTGCAACGGACCATCGCGCGACTGCGTCGATTTAATACGCGATTGTTGGTCGCGATGGGCGGAGATGCGGCTCGCCTCTTCCTGGGAGAGAGAGAGAGAGAGAGAGAGAGAGAGAGAGAGAGAGAGAGCGCGCAAGAGGTGTGCGCGTCTCGTTCTTCCTGTTCTTTCTCGAGATTTCTGCGGAATACTATTCGAACACAACGTTCGCTCCTCCGTGCTTTTCGTCTGCGATTATTTCTATTCCGCATCGGCGTCGGCTCGCCGCAGGCGACGACGAGAAAAGCAGCATCGACACGCGCGCGCGCGCGCGCGCGCGATGTACGCGGCCGGGCTGTTCGAGGTACTTCAAAAAGGCGGAAAGAAACGAAATAAACGCTCAGCGCGGCGCAGATGCGTATAACGATAACTCGCGATGTGCATCGCGATGACTCCGGTGTGCCATTAACGCGGTCGTAATGCGCGGTTTATCGAAAACGCGTAAATCATACTTCGCGCGCGCGCACTCGCGCGGTGAATTCAATCTCTCCCGACGACCGCCTATCGGTTGACTTTCATTCCGTTTAATTACCGCTAAATCAGCCGCGATACTTCTCCGTGACCGCGCGATATGCGACTGGTCACTCTCTCTCTCTCTCTCTCTTCCTCTCTCTCTCTCTCTCTCTCTCTCTCTCTCTCCCCCTCCTTTCCACTCTCTCGCCTGATCTCCCTCGCGCGCAGCCCTTTCAACGCGCGTGAACTCACCGCGGTGAACGTCTCCATGGACAGCACGTAGAACACACCTGCCTTCAAATTCAACGTTCTCTTTGAAAATATCATGGACAAGATTAGCAAACGACCGGTCTTGGCGGAGAGCTCGTCGTTCCATCCCGACAGCCACTGGCTCTGCGCCAGACGTGCGCTCTGTAACATCGCGAACGCCGCGTGAAAGTTACATCGTTGATTATATATTATGATTGCGAGTTAATTACACGTCGCGTTGGTCCCCCTCCTCCCCGCTTCCCCCCCCCGCCCCCCCGCAGCTCCTTCACGTTGCGACGAGATACGGCGGTGGGGGCGTGCATTCGTCCGATCGGCGGTAGTAACAGCGATAACAGTAATAATATTTATTAACGGGAAAGCACCGCGTCTAATTACGTAAAAAGGATATTAGGTTGATGCAAGAGTAATAGCAGTTTTATATCAGTTTTAAGTTTGGCGCCGATTTTTCTAGTTACCCTTATCTTTTCCAGAATTCTATCTCGTAGAAATAAATGAACTTGTTGTCACGTTGGGAGATATGTGTGTGCAGGCCAGTGGTCTTTATTTTATTATGAATAAATGTAACTTTCAACTGATATATGCGTCTTTATACTCGATACGTGAAAACTGCAATTATTTTTGCATCAACCTTTGCAATACATACATATAGGATACACACAAGAGAGGAGTCAAAAATAGCGCTAAAAGCGTCATCGAGCGACGCGACAATTTCAATTCTTGTCTCGCCCCGTATCGATAACCTAATTTTGCAAAAGAGTTAAAAACATGCAACATTTGGTGGACAGGTCCGATTAGCCGTATCGGCTGATTTATTAAGGGAAACCGTCGCTAATTGGGACACTTACCTTACAATAAGTGAAATCGCCGTGAATCGGCCGGTCGAGTTTCGCGTTAACAACACGGCGCGTTGACAGCGACAGCACGAAAGAAAGAGCGGCGGGATCGCGCACGCGTACCTGATATATCACCTCGTTGCCGACCCAGCAGATGTAGAAGAGCTGCGACACGGCCGCCGCCAGGTAAATCGCGAACTTGCAGATGTTGGAGTTGTGGCCTATGACCTGCCCGGAACAAAGCGAGACTCGATCACGATCTGACCGCGGCACTTTGACTTATCACGACTCACCAGGGTGGCTTGGAAGCCGGTTAGGCAAATCATCGAGGTGCTCGAGAGCATCTGAACGAACATGCCGGCGCTGAACATCTCGTTGAAGTCGTCCATTATGGCGACCAGCCGCTGGTGACCGCGGACGGACCTCCGCAAGCGCTCGGCGAAGTCGTCGCGGCCGAGAATCGCGTCTGGATCGTAATTATCCTTGCCGCCGGTTTCGATCGTCGAGGGTATCGCGTAATGCGTGTCTCCGTCGGCGCGCGAGTCGGCGACGGCCGGCGCACCGCACTTGCTAAAATGCGCGTTGAGGATCTCGAGTTGCACGAGGAACAGGTTGCACAAGTTGGTATGCAGGCTGTCCATCCCGATGATAGCGGTGATGCCGACGGAGACGCTGCAAGCCTCCACGAAGTAGCCGACCGCGTGACCCGGGTAGCGCGTCGTGTCGAAGGGGTACCGCGCCCTCACCGGTAGCCCACCGTTCTCCACCGGTACGAGGAACAGCAAGGCCAGCACGAGGCAAAAGCCCAACGTGCTGAATCCGTAGAAAGTCACGCGGGAGATCAGTAAGTACTTGTCCAGGATCTCCTCTTCGTCGCCGGCTGCGAACGAGCAGAAATCGCGCGTCTCGTTATAATCCTCGTTACTCGCGTCTACCGGCTGCGATGAGTAATTAAGAACTCAAGTAGGCAGCAAACCGAGATAACGAGTGCTCAAGGTGAATAGTAGTGCGAATACACTACGTTGGTGCCTTTCATGAGGCTCGGCGATAAGCCAAAGGCGACATCCAAAAAAGTATTCTATAAAGTATTTATAAAGTGATTTTTCCCATAGTCTCATGTTTTAAGCGAAGCCTCTTATACAGGAAAAGGATTCCTCCTTCGATAAAGCGATTAAAGTGAACCGTTCATCTAAAATTGATTAGATATTATTCTATTTTCCTCTTATTTCAAGAGGATTTCCTCCTATATCAATTAATTTTCCTCTTATGTGAAGAGGGATATGTTGATTTGAATGTCGGCTTCTTTTGTTCAATCATGCTCTACTTTCAGACATGAACGAAAAAATAATCATATGCTCATGAGTCGGAACATTTGGTTTTTAAAAAAGGTAAAAAAGGTGTTGCTGTGACATATAACGAAGATAATTTACCCATATTTGGTCAAAAGTTTATAATCTATTGCAAAAAGTTGAATAATATATTCTTTCTTTTAATTATGTTTTATACAATTGGATATGATGAACGTCTTTGTAGCTATAAAGTCCATAACAAAACTGATTGGAAATTTGTTTGTTACGATGATCTTATTTCATTCGTGCATACTTATTGTACGACTGGAGTCAGAAGTATATATATATATATATATATATATATATATTACTTTTCGGTATACGTTATAATTTTTTCAAATTGACTAGTATAACTAGTAGAGATGTGCGAACTATTCGAATTGAATTGAATCGAATCTAATGTAATTCGATTCGATTCGAATCCGAATCCCTATGATTCGAATCTAAATAATTCGAAAATTTCGAATCGAAGATTCGAATATGAATCAAATATATTAGCATTTGCGTGCATCAGCTACAAAACGGGCCATTTAGCCCTGTATGTTTGAACCTTTAACTTGTAATTACCTTAATTTGTAATTAATAACTTAATTATATATTACTTTAAATATTTAAATATATATTTTACTTTAAGATAATATTACAATATGAATATTCCCTTTCATATTAAAATCTTCCATCATTATTTGCAGGTTTAATAATCATGTTAAATTTTTTAATGATTCGATTTTATTTGATTCGATTCGAATTTGAGTGAAATTTCATAGATTCGATTCGATTCGAATTCGAATTTAAAAAATGAGATTCGATTCGATTCTCGATTCAACATAAAAATTCTTGATTCGCACATCTCTAATAACTAGTAAAAATAAAGTATAGTGAGAATAAATAATAATCCTTTTAAAAGAAGATTAAATAATCTGTGCATGAGAGGAAATTTATATGGAAATCAATAAAATTTGCATTATACATATAACATATAATCCCTCTTTAAGAATAATGTGTTTATATTTTCCTCTTAATCTTAGAGGAATCCTCTTGAGGCCATATATAAGAATAAAATTTAGATGATTCCGCTTGTTTTGAAATTACTTTCTTTTGGGTGAAGACAATCTTATATATTAAAGCAAAAGATTAGAAAGCAAAATATAAGATAAAATACAGATGCAGGTAGAACGGAATGAGAGGGAGGGAGAGAAGAGGGGACGGTCATCAATGCGACGAGGATTCGAGGGGGAAAGACACGGCCGATAACGTTCTTCAGCATCGCGATGCGATATTAGAATCAGTGAAACTTGATATACAATCTGCGGGGGACGTCACGTGTCGCCGCGGACGCGCATGGTTACCCGGGCGTGATTGCGAAAACTGCCGAGTAATTCCGTATGAATGAGTACCGGGGTCCTTAATCGCGTGTCAAGGAGACGCGTCGTGAATAGGGACTGGCAGGAGAGGAGACGAGAAAGACACAGGAGGAAGGAGAAAGAGAGAGAGAAAGAGAGAGAATCAACGCCGGCCGACGCGCCACGATGGCCCTTCGCGACGTCGCTCTCGACGCGCTGAGCTTCTCGTTAGGACATGAAATTGCGCACCACCCTGTCGTCGTGCTCGTTTACGGGAGCTACCATCGATGTGACGGCGCTAAAACTACCACTCGGGTGACGCCCGAGTCTTGCTTTGTGATACTCGCAGAGATCGCGCGCGAACAGACGAACGCACTATACTGAACGCGCTATACTGAACGCGTAATTGTAATATTTCATTCGAGCTTCAAGTACGCGGTTAATGAATATACTACTTTGGTATACTCGTCGACGCGTTAGCTCTTGTGAAAGAGTACGAGAGAGAATCTATGGGTGTGTCATGTATCGCAACTTCCTGAAGAAGTGAATCGACCCCCTCGACATTTGAGAGCTAAAGTTCGCTCGAAAACGGCGATTTGAAACATTTTTGCAACCCGCGATTGTCGAACTCTTCCGTCGCGCATCCGAATGCCTGTCGCGCGAATCTCGGCGGGTTTACTCACTGGGAAACTTGCAAAGTCGATGGCAATTGTCGATAGTCTTGCAAAGTAGTCGTGCGATCTTCTCGCGGTAGAACTGGCCGATCATCACCTTGAAGAGCACGACGGTAATCCCGGCGAAGATGCAGCCGTCGTCGGTGACGATCGAGAGGTCGTCGAAGCTCGAGCAGATGTCGGCCAACAGAGTGATCGCAAAGGCGAACATGATCGTCAGGATCACTTTGTTGTACACGAAATACAGATATTTCAATGTAACGGACGAGTTCGAGTCGAGGGCCCATAGGCCGATATATCTAAGCATATTAAGAAATAGTTAGGAGGTCTCATTAATGCACATAGTACATTTAGACACCTAAAAGATCGAATATGTAAAAATATAAAAAAATATAATAAAGAGCGAGAATCCCGCAACAGGAAGAAGTTTCTCGGCGAAGTTGAACGAAACAAATCCGTTGATACCGCCGAAGGAGGCGCGTACGCGCGCGCGAGATAACACTCGAGACGACGAGGACGACTGAATTCCGAATAGATAATTAATCGAGCCACACCCACGCGCGACAATGTTCACATTACGGTTCGCTCACTTGAGATAAGTCGTGTGCAAGGCGCTCAACTTCCGGAACTTGTCGAGGCAGCCGGCAGCTATCCTTCGTGGCATTCCTGCGCGGCTCTCCGCTTCGTGACTGTAGCAGCGATAAAGGGCTCGCTTTACAAGGGCTAGCTTTTTCCTAGGGCATACGACGTCACCTATGTCGCGTGGGTGCTATTTCTTTATGCATCTGAGTTTCGCGCCCGTTTCGCGTTATCGAGTTCGAATATTCGCGTCTGCCCCTCTCCCTTCCTCCCCCCTCCCTCCGCGGCCGCCCCCGCGCGCAAGATTGCCTATGATAAGCCGAATTGCGCGATTGCGCTGTTGTTGTTCGAATTATAGACTCTCACGGCGCGCACGTGTCCTCTCCCTCGCTTATCTTCTCGACAGTAATCCATGAAAGTGACGGCAATTGCCGGCGGGAAACACACAACACACACACACACACACGTACCCACTTGTGTTTCGATGTTTTGTCGAGGACGAGGACGAGGACGGACGGGTGCAATGTACTTTGTTCGTGAGGTATTACTCTCGTCGTTTGTCACGACGAGGGAAGACAATAGGAACGATTTGTTGTTTGATAACATACCGTGAATTGAAACGACATGTGTTCGAGACGCTCGGTCGTTTTCCACTTGGAAAAATAAGCGACTTGGGCGGGATCGATGTGAATCTTGTGACGGGACGATTCCATCGCTGCCGTAACGTTTTGTTAGTCGTGTCGCATGTAAAACGCAACCGTATCTTACCGGTGACACCATTGCGCGTCGTGAAAGCGAGGGAGAAGTTGGTTGTGAGGTTTGGGGGGAAAAAAGTGCATTGTGACTAATTACAGCTGTATTACAGTAGCAAGGGATTTTTTGGAAAAAAAAATAAACAAATGCAAAAGAATTCCGGTACCGGGAATCGAACCCGAGCCTCCTGGGTGAGAGCCAGGTATCCTAGCCACTAGACCATACCGGACGATGAGTGGCTTTTCTTTACTATGTATGATCCGTGTGATATCCGATGACATGATAAATTGTTATCTGTTGATTGCAACAAATATTTTATATTTTACATATTTATATGTATTGTGTAATTTTGCTACAGTAATATCCGACAAGATATCTGCAAGTAATTGCGGCAAATGTCAATAATAAGTGGGATTACTGCTTGTTATTATTGTTTTGAGAATAAGAAAGTGTAAAAATATACACTTTGTGTGTGGTCAATTTGTTTAAATCATATAATATAAAATTGGTAGAAATTGTACTGTAGCCTTATGTAGACTATTATAACAGGTTCTTCCAACGAGTTTCCGTAGTGTAGTGGTTATCACGTGTGCTTCACACGCACAAGGTCCCCGGTTCGATCCCGGGCGGAAACATCTTTTTTTTTCATTACTTAAAATGAAGTTATTTTTTTTTTAATTTTACAATTTATTTTATCTTTTTGTCGTATTTGCGCATATTGCGCAAAGTCTCTGATTCGATCTCAAGCGGAAAATCTTTTCTTCTTCGTTATTTAAAATAAAATTATTCTCTTTCTTTACATTTTAGAATTTATTTTATCTTTTTATATTTACGCATCATTGCGGAATTACATCAAGTCGGATTTATATTTTCCTTGAAGGTAACGTTATTAATAAAAGTAGAAAAATTTTTATATTGAATACGCATACGCGTACATACAATGTACATATATAAATATATATATCGTGACTGTTCAAGTACTCGTTGTCGCAATCACACGATTTTAGGGAGGATGAGTTCAACCGTCAGAATGGCCGAGCGGTCTAAGGCGCCAGACTCAAGGTATATTACTTTCTCGGTTCAAGACCGAGTTTTCCGGGCCTTCTGGTCCTCTCTGAGGGCGTGGGTTCGAATCCCACTTCTGACAAATTCTTTTGACACTATCGCGTTGCTAATTACATAACCAAACGCAAAGATATATGTTAGCTTGCGATATTAATTACGATCGAGTTTTTTTTATTTTCGTATATATATATACATGTTTCTCCATATTATTATCTTTTTATTTTCCAGAGGGAGAAGTTTTTTTCTCTAAAATATTCGTGAAAAATATCGCGACATTTATTTTCATGTATTAAATATAAAATTTGTTAAAAATGTCGTTAGAAATGTTAATACATGTGTATAGTTTATGCATTAAATATATGTTAATGATTATTGCGTCATGTGTAGCTTATGATACTCTTTTAAGAGAGCTGAAATCAAGTGTCAGGATGGCCGAGCGGTCTAAGGCGCCAGACTCAAGGTTCATACCTTCTCGGTTCGAGGCCGAGTACCGGGCTTTCTGGTCCTCTCTGAGGGCGTGGGTTCGAATCCCACTTCTGACAAATCTTTTGTTTCTGCGAATATTTTTGCAACTATCATTTTTGCGGTCGATATTCGATAAATATACAGCCGGATGCGTCGTGAAACGTCATTATTCGAACGTCGTCGGTTCGAATCCCACCGCGAATGATTTCGCCACTCTCCAACAATTTTTTTTTTCATTACATCTTATCTATAATATTTTATCCGTGTTGTATGAGATATAGTAACAATAATTCTAGTCGTTGTTAATGTTTTAAATAATTACGATCAAAAAAAAGATGGATATTATGTGTTGTACGAATATAAGATAATACGCATTGCACGACTTATATTTTAATTAATTATTATTTCTTTTCTCACACAGACAGAATATTATAAATTATATAGATTTCAGCTCCTAAAATACAAATCACGCGTCTGAAATGAAAAATAATAAATTGAAGTAGAAAATACCGATAAAATATTGCTCGGTTATAAAGTTCCCTACAGCGTAACTTGAGATATAAAATCCTTCCTGTGTAAAATGCTGTATGATTTTATCAACGATCTTAAATGCGGTGACGATGATTTTGCTTTTAATAACGAGCTCGAAGAGTCATTAGAAGAAGATAGTATTAGCGACACCTTAATAGACGCGATGCTGCGCCGTTATACGTACAAATAAATTTGTGCGGGTCTCGCGTCGTATATCACCAGGAGGTATCGTCGTTATACCGAAAATATTTCAATATCTTTTGAATTGTAAATCGCACACGATATTAAATCGTGTCTCTCTCTCTCTCTCTCTCTCTCTCTCTCCCTTCTTTCTAATCGTTGCTCGGGCGGACTTGCGGAATTCCGTCTGCGTGTTGTTTCGTCACGGAACGAGAATTTACATTCCGACCTGTCACAATGTTATCGTCTTAAGATGGTAATTAACGACGAAAGGTGGGAATTACACGACACTCGGGTACGCGATTTACCAAGTCTGATCGCGATCGTTGAATTTCTTCTAGCTATTACCTCCGTCTCGTGTGAATGCATCGCGTGGCCGAGCGGGAGATAGCTGTTGAATTGACGATGTTGAAGCGAATATCGTGCTTGACATCGCTGCTGAGGCACGAGAAAGAGAGGCGGAGAAATGCTAAACAAATCCAACAGAGCCTCACGACGGTCGATTCGTGCGTGCGCGGGCGAATCGCGGACGTCAATTTTCTCTCTCATTTGAAATTTCGCTCGCAGCTGCGAGCGCAAACGCGAACGGTGAACGCGTTCTCCCAGCCGCTTTTCTCGAAAGTCATTTAACGCGTTTCTTCCGCGAAACATTTTTCCTACCGCGCCAGCGGTACCGGTTTTTAGCCAAAGAGGAGACTTGTTACCTGCACACACTTAATACCATCTTGTAAGAATCGCACAGGTGGTGAGAGTAGAGATATTAATGAACGGCGTAATGGCCGTTTCCATGACGTAATTCCCGGCGATTACTCAACAAACTGTGTAACCCTCGATACGCGTTCGGTACATTCAATTAATTCGACGTCGTCTTCCCGATTTTCTCGTTTTTAGCGTCCTCCTGAATTCTCCCTCCCTCTCTCTCTCTCTCTCGTCGATACTGTCGTTCCGTCGAATCGATATTCACAGTCGGACCTTATCTTTAAGGGGATCCTGATCCCTTCGAGTTCATTTTCCGACATTGCCCAAATCGGCCAAAGCACCCGAAGATAAACCCAAGACGATCTTAAACATAAGATCTCATTACGAACGTCGACCTTAATCTCATCGCGGGCGCGTTTTCGCGCGCGATTTCCGCCAAGTGCAAGATACGCCAGAGATAAGGCACGCGCAATAAGGAACGCACTGGACATCGGGCAAATTTAATTGACGCAGCAACCGGTCGCGCAGTCGTGAAGTCACAAATTTATCGGCGGATCAGAAGGTTTGCGAGCGCGCTGATAAAAGGGCGAAAAAGTTCCGCGCGAGCGTAAAGCCGCTGCGGACGCCTCTCGGCCTCGCCGTAATGTGAGGATTACGTAGATGCTTTAATTTATCGAGCGTCGAGGGCAAAATTCGGCTTCCCGCCGGAGAAATGCCGCGGAATCTCCATCGAGAGCAGAGCAGCGTTGCTGGCTGGCGAGAGGCCGGACGGCCGACGAGACGTTGCGAGCGCGTGAGACACGCACAGCGACGCAACATAATGAAGACCTCAGGCAGAGACGGATGTAAATTATTAGGGTCACGTAGCCAGCGCGAAAACACCGTGGCGTTAGCCGATTACACGGCTCGCTCGCTCGCTCGCTCGCTCGCTCGCCCGCTCTCGCGCGGCGCGCGCGCGCGAGCGAGCGATAATCGCTAATTGAAAATGTTTATCGTGCGCCGGATCGAAGGCAGTGCAGGAGCGATCGCCGCGCGCGGAATATACGCGAGCCGGCCGCTACGGGAGAGATTGGCGAGCTCGCGGGGTATTTATGCGGTAGGACAAGGCTAATGACAGGTGCTTCGCACGCCCAGCCGACGGAGACGCTCGCTCTCTGTCACGGGCTTCTTAATGATCGAATTACCCGGCCGCCCCGCCGCCTCTCCCGCCTCGCATTACGAAATTTCTCCGGCGGCCTGCGTAGGGCCGCTTAATAGCCCGCCGGTCTCACTCGCGCCTCGGGAGATAACAACTTATTTTTCGAGCCGCATGCCTGCAAACGAGGAGGAACCGCGGAGGAGTGCTGTCGCGTCGGCAGGGTCGGACCGCTGGTGAAAATCGCGGGGCTGAAATTTTACGTCGTCGCAAAGTGTCTGTAAGAAAAGAGAGAGAGAGAGAGAGAGAGAGAGAGAGAGAGAGAGAGAGATTTTGTCAGGGGTTGATAAGCCCTTTGAGTTTGCAAAACAATATTTGGTCAGACGCGACAAATAAAAAGGAAAAAGGAAAGAGGAGAAAGAAGCGGACAAGAAACGATTAGAATCCTCGAGATCTTCTCTCGAGAGGATATTTTTCTTTTCTTTGTTTTGTCAATATTTTCTTCCGTTCGAGGTGAATTCTCCTTTTCCCCGTTCGGTGAGATCATCGAGAGCGCGAGACGTTGTTGATCGTAACGTCGGGTTCCTCGTCGTTCGCCCCTGCGTTCGCGTAAACGCGAAAAAAAAGAATGACACGAACGCGTTTAACAGCAAAATTCGATCGCACGAGAGAGCCCGCTCCCCGCCTCGCCGAATTGTATCGATTTTTTACGGTAAACGCCGATGATCAAGGCGTCGTTTGCCTTTAACGGGACTTTTTAACTGACGCCACTCGGCGCGTTATTATACAAATGCGCCGTGAGGTGAAATCCGCGGGTGAGATTTAATCGCCGAGCACGAACTGTTGCAACAAGTGTCGTCCGTTAAAATGACGCTGCTCGATTTAACGATCGATGCTGAGGCGCACTCTGGGACACCGGGATTCTCGCCGACCACCTTCAGCGCGGCACTTAGATCCCGCACAAGTCGCGATATCTCGTATAAATTGCGATGACAAAAATTCAGAAATCATCGGCCCGTACTTAGCGAATCCATCGAGGAGCGCCTCGTCGTTTATTAAGAATGGTCCACAAATATTCGAGTACTTGCAAGATTGTTATTCTTAGTCTTATTCTTTTTCTACTTGAGCTACATAGAATATGAACAATATTTTTAGCGTGCTACTTGTACAAGATTTTATTTGAAATTAAGAAACTTAATTTTTCGTATCAAAATAAAATCGTCCATCGATTCTTGAAAAAAGCCTTCATTTGGAAATTCTTGATTACTTACGAGTACCTTGAAAAAGTTCAGTCTCCACGTAGATCTCAAATGTTAGGTTGGTGCAAAAATAAAATACGGTTTTCATCATTTTAATTTTTAACGCCGATTTTTCTAGTTACCGTTATCTTTTCCAGAATTCTATCTTGTAAGAATAAACAAACTGTTTCCTGTTGGGAATAATGTATGCGGGCCAATGGTCTTTATCTTGATTAATAAATATAATTATAATTAATTAGAAATTAATTAAATTAATTAAATTATTAAGAAATGTAATAAATATAATTTGATTAATAAATATAATTTTTAACTGATATATGCATCTTTATATTCGATACGTGAAAATCGCAATTATTTTTGCATCAACCTGATAGAACGCATCGCAGAGCAGAATTAAAATTCGAAACCGCTCGAGAACAGTGTGCTGCGTCAGGACGAGATGCTGAAGTTGACGAGAAGTTGTCGAAGGGTCGGGAAAACGGAGTTGACCTCGTGTTTCCATTAGCCACTGCGGCTCGATAAAACGCCGTGCCTCTGTTTCTTACCGAAAATCTCGATCGTCCAGTTTCCAAGCGCGCCGAACATAGTAATGGTGCGTCGCGATGCGTGGGCCGCTCTCGGATCGGTTCGATACCAGTACGAAAACAAGCGCCAGAGAGATTATTATTACGCATCTCCGGCTACCAATTCGTGGCTATCGCACCGTGAAAGACACTCCTCGCCACTTAACGGGCAAATTCGGGCCGACGGTCCGCGTCCCGATAACGCGATCCACGTCTCGGCAACGTACGATCGTACGATTTGTCAGCCTCGCTGGACATCGATGCCATCGAGCGCCCATTTGCGGGCCCCACGTCGGGGCCTTACCATCCGCAATAATTTCGATAACGTTATAGCAGCGAGACGCTCTCTACATAACGGCGAATAGAATCGTCCGTAAACACGAGTTGCCTAAAAGCTGCAGGTCGCCCGATGGCTTTGATGCTTTTCTTAGCGAAACTTTGCTAAGAATATCGCGTCGATACTCTTTGCATTCCGAGCGCCGACTTTGGAAATTCCACTATTTTACACGCATGCGCCAACTCGGTCGACGGTGGCAATAAAGTTGTTCTAAATTTTGTTCAGAGTTACGTACCGTAACCATCTGTTAACGAATGGATCAATTCATTATCGATTTCCGTTTAGTTTAAGGGTATTTGTATCATACTTCTGAATTGAATGCGCGTAGCAATACCGATTTTTAATATGTCACTGAAAATTGTCATTCATCCAGGCGAAAGATCTAGGCGTCGTGAAGGGAGGCGGCGGACAGCCGCAGGTCAGGAGCGCCGACGGAGGAGGCGGTGGAAGCCGCTGAAGATCTAGGAGTCGTGAAGGGAGGCGGCGGACAGCCGCAGGTCAGGAGCGCCGACGGAGGAGGCGGTGGAAGCCGCTGAAGATCTAGGAGTTGTGAAGGAAGGCGGCGGACAGCCGCAGGTCAGGAGCGCCGACGGAGGAGGCGGCGGAAGCCGCTGAAGATCTAGGAGTCGTGAAGGGAGGCGGCGGACAGCCGCAGGTCAGGAGCGCCGACGGAGGAGGCGGCGGGAGTCGCTGAAGATCCGGGCGTCTTGAAGGGAGACGGCGGACATCCGGTCAGAAACGCTTCTCGATAGAGAAGCCAGGAACCGATGTAGAGATCAAGTATCTCTCACCGTGAGAAAGGCGACGTAAGCCGTCGATCAGGAGCGCCGCCGATGTTGGCGGCGCCAGTCAATGCAGAGACCAGGTATCTCTCACCGTGAATGCTTCTCGATAGAGAAGACGGCATGAGCCGCGAAAAAGACCAGAAGTGAATGCTCATCAAGAGCCCTGAAATGTCACATAAATAATAAGAAACAATGCAGAAGCAATATTCTCGCTCGGAAAAGTTAGACATGCGAAGAGGACAAAAGCGGAAGCCTGTTGGTGCCTGCGTAACTAGGCAACCAGCCACGCTCGCCTTCCAACATCGCACCGTCTCCCTCTTGCTGCGAGAACACTGCCGTGGCCCCGAATGAGTCGCTGTATGAAATGATCATTGCTGATCTCTTGCGACTCTAGGTCGCGCGACTCAATCCTTTTGCCTTGCGACTCTATGTCGCGCGCTTTTTCAAACAGTATTTAAAATATAAAATTCTCATCGACATTCGCGAACGACATGCGGATGAAAGAAAGAACTCGAATTACAAGATCTAGATCTATCAGGATCTAGAAAGACAGCGCAGAACAATAAATTTATATCACTCTCGTTTCTTCTCGTATCGGCCCGTTGGATGTGGAATAATCGCTCGTAAGGAATTCGCTCTTCTGATCTGGGAGAAGACGGGAAACTGCACTCGCGTGTAACGTGTGATATCGATTTATTTACAAAATTACAATAAATTACGATGAAAGTGGATCGATAACGATCTCGGTCGAAGTGGAGTGATGGCGAGACTGGTTTCTTATGCTACAATCAACATTATTCTCTCTCTCTCTCTCTCTCTCCCTCCCTCCCTCCCTCCCTCCCTCCCTCCCTCCCTCCCTCTCTCTCTCTCTCTCTCTCTCTCTCTCTCTCTCTCTCTCTCTCTCTCTCTCTCTCTCTCTCTCTCTCTCTCTCTCTCTCTCTCTCTCTCTCTCTCTCTTTTCCTCTAATCTCTCTACGCGCGACGAAAAGATATCAATGATAATAATATACCAGAGATCGGTGTCCGCCTTCTTTCGCGATCTACACGAACATATAACGCCATATATTGAACAATAGCCGAGAGCGACGACGCATGCGAATAGCAACTGCGTGCAGCGAGATGGTTAAGCGTGCCGCGACACCGGCAGCGGCGGTGTTCCGGGAGCTACAACAGTCGTGAACGACCGTATCACGGAGGGAGTCCACTTCCTCCTTAATCAGCGCAGTTTCGACAAATCCTATCTTGCCAGCAACAATGAGACCGTCGACGGTCATTCTCTCCCAAGCGCGACACCTCGGCTCGTTCGTCGAGCTAACGCGTCCATCGTCTTCGGACGGTCATTCGAGGCCTGAAATGAATTCGATTATCGACTACGCGATATATACATGTAACTTAATAAGCGTCACTAAACAACGAGGCTCGCTGGGAGCCTTCAAGTTCTCTTCCCCTTTCCTCTCTCGTTTCCCGCCGCGGAAGTTGGGAGCAGGAGCGGCCGGTAGCCGCGTCTCGCTGCGTCGTCGACGCGACACTTAGATAGATGAGCGCTGAAACGAATGAACGTTAGATTAACGAGGACACCATACAGATACGCTCTCGAGCGAGATTCGGGAGACTACACTTGGCGGCTACATTACGCCTACAGATATTCAGTTACGAGCTTGTGGTACTATAACTATGACTATGCGCCCCTGTGTGACAGACACGACGACGTGGGTCCCTAACATGCGGACTCGTACCTGCGCGCGTCTCACATTTACCTCGCGAGCGGACATCTAACACTTGGGGCGAATACATTCTCTCCCCCTCGCGGCGCAGCGCGATGTACCTTCTACAAAAATACACAAAGAAGGGCAAGGCGATCTGGAACTAGTATTCGTACACAGGCCTATGAGAAATCTACTCTTCATCGGGTCGGCAAGCTGAAGTGAATTCTGTAGAGCACCCGTCGTTACTTCTTTGCTCTCGACGCCCTTGAGACTCCGTACAATCGGCAGGGATGCGTGGTACGTAGCGGGTGCGTGGAACAGGCGAGGGGATCCCGTTGAGTCGACCTGTGAATGAGCTTACGAGCCAGGAAAGAAAGCCATAGCGAACAAATTATACACGATAGGATGATAGACAAGAGGCAGACGTTCCCCGACAAGCTCACTCACTTCTTTCGCTTGTCGCAGTCGATTGTCTTTTGAATGATCAGTTTGTTCCGTTGTCTTGTCACCTTGGTAGTCGAGCGGGTACTATTAGGCGCGATCTGTTTCAAGCCTTGCTGCGGGATCCTGCACGGGCTGGCCGCTCGTGGCGGTGTCGTGCCCTTGAGCAGCACTTCCACGTCTGCCAGACGCTTCTTCAGTGCTCTGTTCTCCCGCTTGTACTTGGTGAGCTCAGAGTCCTTGTCGAATCTCTCATGGCCGGAGCTGCTGGTCTCCTCCGCTAGGTACCTGAGCATGTGGTGCAGCTTCTCCTCGTACTGCCTCTGCATCAACACGATCCTCCTCTTGGCCTCCATTTGTTGCGTCCCCATCTCCCAATCCTGGCTCGCGATGCGAGCCTCCAGCTCCGTTATCTGCACCTCCAAGTTCTTAGAGCTCTCCTTCAGGTCGATCACCTTGTGGAAGTACTTGACGAACAGCGTTATTATCTCACCGTGAGAGAGCTTCTTCAGGCGCTCCATGAGCACCCGCTCGCCCTTCTCGCGCTGAGACTGATTCTCGTAGAAGTCCTTCCGCCCGCAGATCATCTCGTTCTTGTGCTCGATCATCGCGTCTATAGCCTCGATCGTCTCTCCGCATTCGAGCAACTTCCGTTCCTCCACCGTGGTCAGGGTTCTCTCTTTCTGTAGTTTCTCGTCCAGATCGCATTTCTCGTCCACCAGGCATTCGCGGGTGCGTCTCAGGTTTCTTATCTCATGCCGCAGCGCTTCTTTCTCATCCGTGTCCGCGGTTCTCTCCAAGTCCATCGATTTCTCCTTCAGGACGTGATCGAGATGAGATATTCTCGCGCTCACGTCCAGCAAGTTCTTCTTCTTGTCCGCACAGTCGGTCTTTGGCTTCGCGTTGTGCTGCTTCTCATCCTCGCTCTCCGATTGCATCTCCTTCAGTTTGGAAGCAGTCAGGTTATATTTCTCCTCGAGCTCGCGTATCTTCTGCTGATCTTTGACGAGCTCCTGCTCCAATTGCTTCTTCCGTTCCTCCTCCTTCTTCAGTTGACGCTTCAGTTTCTCCATTTGTTTCTTCGACGTGTTCAGCGAGCCTTCTAACTCAAGAACCTTCTTCGCGGAATCACCCGCGATTTGCTTAATCATATCAATGTCCATCAAGCGCTTCTCGTAATGTATCGCCATGTTTTTGTATAATTCGATCTCCTTCCTGTGAGAAGACTTCTCCTCAGAGTCTGAGTACAAGGACGCATTCTCGGCGTGTGCTAATTGCGTCCTCGTGTTGTAATACTCCTCCTGGAGCTTGCTGCGCTTACGTTGGAAGCGCTGCTTCGCGTTGGTGCGTGTATCAGAATTTTTCATCATGTCCGCGATAAAACGTTGCTTGATCTTGATCGTCGTCTGCAGCTCCTCGATGCGCTTCTGCGCGCCGTCCAGATCCGACTGGATCTTCTTCACTTGCGTCTGCTTAGCCTCGTTATTCAGCGACAAGGCTTTCAATTCGCGAATAGGCTCGGGTATTTCCGCGGTTTTGAGGGCATCGAGCAACAGATCCGGCGAATTGTCGTTTTGCATCGTTATGAAATTGTCGTTTAGATTCACCTCCGTCTTGCGGTTATCCAGTACGCACGGATTCACACGTTCCATCAGGTGATTCTCGAGAACTTGGTTCTGGCAAGGTTTCCGGTTATCGTTGAAGACCAATACCTCGTTACACATGTCGGAACCGGGCAACATCGAGTTTCTGCGGGAATTTGGGTTTCTGATCGGTATAGGACGCGCTATCGCGACGTAATTATTGTTTACAGATCTCGCCGCCGGATGTATAATCTCGATGTTTGTTTCTCTGAATTCATCCTTCTTGGAATCGATATCTCTATCCGTATCTATCTTGAACTTGTTGATGCACTCGTCCAATTTCTCCAAAAAGTCTGGGTTTTCCGAACTCGCATCGCTCCGATCCTCCTCCTCCTCCTCCTCATCCTCGTCCTCGTCTTCCTCTTCATCATCATCATCATCATCATCATCATCCTCATCGTCATCGTCGTCAGCATTAGATAGGTCGCTCTCGGAGCTGGAGGTACAGTTAGCATTGAGCTTGAGTTTCATTTGATTCGCAGACTCATCCGTCTTCTCATCGGTCTCAGTTACTTCCTCGATACGTTCTAATGATCTTCTGATATTCTCTGTGTATCCTTGCATACTAGTAGTATCATCACCAGATATACACTCTTCGTATTCTTGCTTCATGCACAGCCACTGCTCAATTTGATCCTGATCTGTATGTGGCAAAATGTTACTTGTCATAAGCTTTGTGAACAAACCCTCTGCATTAGAGACCAATTTAGACCATTGAGCAGCAGCAAACTCCAATCTAAAGAGATCTGCACTGGAACTTCGTTCCCCAGAAGTAGCAGGTGTCACTGTATCATGTGTCTCATCCCCAGTCTGTTCATTCTCTTCCTCAGCTAGCTGATGGTGCTCATGATTGCGATGTTGGAAAGATGGCATCATATTGATATAAGGTGCATAACACTGGTGATTGTCCAACATTGCTTGGTGTTGAATCCACGGCCCGTAATGCATCATTTTATCTGCCTCATGTAATATCATCTAACAAAGATCTCGTCTGTCTGAATAAATGAGGCAGGACCTGTGGGAATTTTTGTCAGTTATATCATTATTAAGATCAGTAACAACTAGAACGATTAAAATAATACATAGAAAAAACTATTTTCCATTGAGCTGAAATAATTCTCCGTTTGAGTGAAATATTAGATTGCAGAGAAACAAAATTGACATATAATTTTAGCATATAAGATAATAATTGGCTATACATACTTGTCTATGAAATTCCTAACCTATCGTGAGCTCCAATCTCTTGTCATAATTTTATTCCAAACTCTATGGCTTTTCCACGTGCACATTTTCTGCGAAAATTGTCTGAATGTGTGGCGGTCATATACCATAGACATAGGAATATAGGGACAGAGCATAAGCCCATAAGATAGGCGAGGGGAGTTGTGCTGAAATGCGGAGGGCGACTGTGCCTAAGTTTCATTGGCTACAATAGTGCGCATATTCAGAGCGTGTGATGCAACGACTTGGCTGTCACTGGTAAATAGTAAATGGCAGGATTGGGAAGTAACGCGTTACTTGTAACGCCGTTACTGATATCGTTACTTTTTTGAGTAACGATGAGGTAACACCGTTACTTTTTGATGTCAGTAACGAAAAGGTAACGGCGATACATTTTTTTTGTAACGAGTAACAAAACGTCCGTTACTTTAATCGTTACTTTTTAATTTTTATAAAATTAAACTTAATTGTATTTAATTTCTATGCATTTTTTGTTTTATGCTGAATTTAATGAGAACCAATAAAGATGGACTCACATATTGTCATCCATTGGCCGTAGCTATACAGAAAGATTTAAAAGAAAGGTGAGTTGGTGTAATTTGGTTAATACATATGTTCATCAAATAACATTCATCTGATCAAAAAGAAAAATCAATATGTTGATATTTAATTTTATTGATTTAACTTTAGGTTTTGTATTACATTTGAAAAAGAAGAATTGATAATTGCCAGCTGTTTGCATCCCAAATTGAATTGGTTAGCTGGAGATAAGTGAAAACTTGCGCAAACGTATTTAGAAGATTTATAAGGAATTCCTTCAATTAAAAATTTTTTGATGTCTGATAAGCACAATAATAACGATGATTTTTTTAATTTTAAATAGCAAACATCAAATGAGAAATTTGCCTATGATGAATGGCAAAGATTTTTAAAGTCAACAGGCACTAATATCCAAATATTAAATTCATATCCACTAATTAAGAAACTTTTCATTAAATACAACAATTAATAACATAAAATAATAAAAATATTTAAATATATATATATATATATATTTCTAATCGTCTTATGTCCGATTTATATCTTGTCTTAGCACCTTTCTTATAATCCTGGATTTACAACAAATAAAAGTAACGGAAAGTAACGAAATAAAATATCGTTACTTTCAAGTAACGGTAACGCGTTATTTTTTAAGATCAGTAACGGTAGGTTTAAGACGAGTAACGGTAACGAGTTACTTCTTACCGAAAGTAATGGTAACGGTAACGAGTTACTTTTAAAAAGTAACTTTCCCAATCCTGGTAAATGGGTGCTTACGATAACGAGAGTGCAGCGAGTAAGATCTGGATCTGGAAAGAGCAGTACACATTTCCATCTATAACTATTATATTTCATGGCTGCTCCTAATCCTACTCCCTTGCTGTCTCATAGTGACAGAAGCGAGCAGGAGCCGATCGTCTTGTGTGTATACATAACAGAAAGCTAACGTATGCCATATTTTATACTTTATTGAAAGAATTATACTTATATATCATATGAATTTATAAATTTATAATATATTTTATATATTTTATTTTTTATTGAAAGAATTATACTTATATATTATATGCATTTATAAATTTATAAATTTATTTTATATATTTTATTTTTTATTGAAAGAATTATATTTATATATTATATGCATTTATAAATTTATAAATTCATATGATATATAAGTATAATTCTTTCAATAAAAAATAAAATATATGGTATATGTTAGCTTTCTGTTATGTATACACACAAGACGATCGACTCCTACTCGCTCCTCTCACTATGAGACAGCAAGGGAATAGGATTAGGAATAGCCATGAAATATAATAGTTGTAGATGGAAGTGTGTACTGCTCTCTCCAGATCCAGATATCACTCGCTCCACTCTCGTTATCGTAAGCACCCAATGTAACAAAATGATAAGAACTATTTACACTGACAGTATTTTGCAGAGGTTATGCATGTGTCCTTTTTTTCATAATTTCACTCACACACAACTTCATACACATCTATGTATGTATCAAATGCTTACACACGGCACAACCACCAATTAGATTTAGGCACAGTTTACCTCGTCGCACCGTTCCGCAATGGTTATCCCACCGCAACTCTATGCTCTGTCTCTATATTCCTATGTCTATGGTGGCGGTCGACCCTTTCCCGCCATCTATCGCGTCGCCGGCGAACCAGTTGCCGCAGAGCCACAGGAAACAGTTGCTGCAGCCGAGGGCGCTCTTCTAGGTTTGGTCGCCTCGCGACCACGTGCAACAGCGCACGTGGCGCTTAGTAGTATCTTTCAGCAGTCGCCGACGTTGGGATATAGTCTCGGCAGTTGTAGCTTCTCGCGAGTCGCGTGTCTGTTCGTCGCGACTGTTCGGCTATCACCTTCGCGACCGCGTAGTGTTTTCTCGCCTCCTGGTGCCGCGGCAGCTCGTGCCGTCAGGGTGCCCGCGCGCACCCCCTTCGCGAGGTGCTTCTGGGAGTTCCGGGAAGTGCCATTGCTGGCACGCGCGTAGTGAGCGAGCGGTTCTCTCTCGTGCTTACGTGTCGTACGGGCGCCTCACGCGCCCGCTCGCGTACGCGCCTTGTCGTCCGCGTGCCGACCGGACCTTCCGCATGCACTCGCGGCGCTATCCGATGCACATGCAGTGATGACAAGTGGTGGGAATTTTTCCCATATGAGAGCCGTTGTGCGCATGCGTGAGCATGACGTCAGAGCTCGTTGCAAGCGTTTCCAATGGTGGACGTAAACGCAGATAGTAGGCGCAAATAGTGCGCACAAAGTCCCGCGTGTCTGTCCGTTACAGTTGCTCCACGTTTTCTCCATGTGTACTTACGTTATGTATTCATAAAGTAAAGTGTTATAATAAATTGGAGAAGCGATAAGTTTAGTGATAAGTTAAGAAAAAGCTGTGATAATAAACGCAATAGGAATAATTAATATAATATATTGACTGCAGATATAAAAAAATTACAAATTAATAAATTTTATTATTATCTTTTATTATTCATATATAAACTACATTATATAAACTATATTATATTTATTGAACAGAAATATTGTCCCTTTTCCCTATAATTTCCTTCACATTTCCTTCATAGTGGGGACTTAATAATACCTTCAAATATATACGTCCGTGAAGCTACCACAGCGTTTGCTCAATACGCATGCGCGACTTTTCCCACGACTTGTCATCACTGCGCACATGCGCGTCACGTGCTCCACGTGCACGCGGACGTGTTTTGTTTTGCTGCCCCGCGCAGTACGCAACGGCGTGCCCTGGTATTTGCGAGCGGTATTTCGAGACACATTCATAACGTAGCTTACATTTCTGGAGATCTATCGGGTCAAGTTAGAAATGTGAGAGCAGTTTAGTTTTCAAGTTCATTTTTCGATTAATTTTTTACACATTGCAAGATAGAAACGTTTATATAAAAAGTATAATAAGAGCATTTTAAAAAGCAAAATTTAAGTTTTCTAGTCTGTTTTTAACACATCATATATCGTTCCTTTCGTCTTCTACGAGCAATTTTAAAATAAAAATACGTCTAATCTACCATTCAGTTATATTGAAAAGGGAAAAGAAAAATATGTTCGATCCATTTTTGTGTTATATCACAATTTGATTCTTTGTTAAGCACAGTGGCGGCTCGTAGTGTTGTAAGTGAATTAACATGTTAACATACGCAAAAAAAAATAAGGATTGAGATTGTATATGATTAATATCATGAAGATTATATACGATTTATATCGTATAAATATATGATACAAGATGATATTTTGTACCCAAAATTATTTTCCCAAAATATTTCAGCGTTACGTTAGTATTTATTTATAATCCGGCAAGCGTTTTTTACCGCAGTATGTGTGCGCGTGCGTGTGTTGCAATTAGGTGTGCGTGACGTACGTGTGCATACACGCGCTACACATACACACATACACATACCATGAGGATTTATATCAGGCAAAGTATGCGACAGATAAGTTCTTTAGTGGAAAAGTTAATCCTTCGTCAAAAAACTGTTCTCTCATTGGGTATTGTCGTATGTTGAATGCCTTGCCTGTGCTGCGATTCTGTAACTCGTTATTGGAGTTAACGACAGTTTCGTTATTGTTACGCAGCTTTTCTACGGTATACAAAAGCTGCGCAACGATAACGAAAGTGTCGTTAACTCCAATAACGAGTTACAGAATCGCGGTACTGGTGTTAATCTTTAGGCACCCTATTTTGTGGATAAATAAGAGGTTCAATTCAATTCAATAGATGGCTCTGGGTGTGTAAGCCACTGCTCCGACGCCACTCTCTGGTATAAATAAGAGGTCTAGCAGAGAGAAACCTGAGAGCGGCCAACACGGCATTTTCTGCAGCACCGACTTTCCGCATTGGGAAAGGACGCCATCTACATCCATTTTAAGATGGGAAACTACGATGCTACATCCACTTTCAGGTCTCGGTGGTAAAATCTGCATGTGGTGGAAGTCTGTGCTACCATTTTCAGGCGGTTTATATCCGTGCTGCAACCACAGTTGCCATCTCTATGTCAGATTATGCCCGGCGGTCTAAAAAGAGGGGGGGGATGGGAGGGGGGAGAAGCAGGAAAAATAAAAATATAATAGTATTAAATATTAAATCTTCGAATACATGTTGCCGTATCAAAGTCTCTTGTATAATAAACGATTTGACACGTTTGGAAACGCATGATGTAACGTTGCCCACGTCCCGTCCCCTTTGTCCTGCTTCTCAATTCAGCATGCCGTCCGCTTCGGACATTCGCTTGTGGCACTGACAGTGGCCGTCGGTGAGCATTCGATTCACTCAGAGAAGCATGTGTTAATTAACGCGACGAGACTCCGATTATAAATATCCCGCGAACCGACGAAATATCTGAACTTTTAAAAAAAACATCAAAGAAAATCACGTTGATGTTGTCATGAAATCTCACCCTGGTATATATTTTTTTATTTTCGAAATAAAGAAAGCCAACCGAATTTAGATGAAAAGTAGAAGAGTTATTGTCCGCAGCGGATAATCTAACATTTAATAAGAACGAGACGAAATTCGCATGAAATGAAATTCCACTCTTTAACGCTACCATGACCTTTAATTATTCTCCGTAAACGGCGTCACAACAACTTTGACATTCTGTACAATTAGTTGCTGACATATTTTCTAATCGTACACATTCCTCTTTAAATAACATAAAGCTAACAAATATTCGATGCTTCGACAGAATAATTTTCTTTATTTTCAGTAATCAATAAGTAGTAAATCAATGTCGCGTACAGTTGAAAGGCCTCCTCGCATTCCCCTCGTTGTCCCGGAACCTTCGAGAAAAGAAAAGACGCCCAAGG